CGTTTTCGAAAAACTCCGTTTTCGTGACGAATTATTTTGGACGGAAGGCGTTACCCAGGAAAAAAATAGTGCTCCGTTTTCAAACTCCTTCTGCGTAGTGTAGACGCTGCCTTATTATACTTTGTCCCATGCTCAACTCATAAACAAGTTTCGTGGTCTTTAATTAATGTAAAGCGTTCAACTAAACCTTTGTATCGACTGATATAGTTACAACTTTCCTTACAGATACGAAATCTTCTTGGATGAAGTCAAACCCGAGTCGTTAAGTTTATCATTTTTAAGGGAATTCATGGATTTACCAATATCATACTTTGCTGCTGGAGCGCCGCTGAAATATCGTAAGTTATATGCTTAGGGTCAGTTTCGTAATCAAGATGGCGATTGATCGGGACATTGGGAGGTTGGGGCGTGGCACATTGTTCATGTGCAGTGGAACCCTGTCAATCCGGTCTCCGATAGGCCACTGGGCGTATTAGCACACATCTGGGCGTATTAACGAAGTAGCCGTATTAAAGGGGTTCTTTAAACAAGAAAATGACTGAACGAGCTTTTGTTCGGGCCAAAATTAAGTGGCCGTGCAGTATTAACGGGGTGGCGGTAAGGCGGAGTTCCACTGTATTTATTTATTTGTTCCTTTGCCCGTTTGCTTGGTTGTTTGTTGGTTTGGATCTTAGCCTAAGCGACTATAACATCTCTATTAGCTTCACTTTATCTTGTCAGTAGAATTATATAACCAAAATAATTCATCGCTAGCTGAAATGACAAAAGCATTTATCCTAAAACTTGCAGAGGATTTTATTCAGCGATGGGGGACACATTACATCAAGTCTTCCAAATTCGGCGGCCAATTGCAGATTCGTAAATTTATGGCTGCCGCGGACGTGTCGAGCAAAAACGAATTCTCAAAAGAAATGGAGGTGGAGTATAAAAGTTTGTTTGCCAGCGCTGGCGCTAAAAAGAGCAGCTCAGGCGGAGCGTCCTCGAGAAGTCAAAAGAAAACGTCTTCCACCACAGTTATTGCCTTGGGAGGAAGCCAAAAGATCGCTACTATCTTGTCAGACGCGTACTCACCGACTTTCAAAAATGAGTTTAAGGACTGGCTGATGTCCATCCCTCAGTATCCTAAACCGTTCCATTTCCAAGTTGGCATGGTTACTGACCTGTTGAATTTCCGCATGCACGACTTGTTTCCGGAAGAAGCAGTCAATTGGGGCTGTGAAGGTAACGCCGCTAGTCTGACGACTGAGACTAACGCGAATGGAGAAGAAGTGTCTTTCTTCCAGACCGCTGGTGCTAATGGCACGGTGAAGCATTACTGCGCGTTTGATAGTCGAAAGGGACTGGAAGAAGCACTGAAGAGAAGAAGGATCAGTTTGAAGAGGGCCATTGAGGTTTACTTGGAAGAGGTAGGTTCAGGTATCCTACAAAGACAAACTATACGAACAGCCGGTGAAGGAAGCCTTTACCTGATCTTCAGTTGGCAATTTTACTGTTGATAATTTCACTTGTAGTGTTCCACCTTTGCAAACAACATAACAACAGCATATTTGAGGATCGTAACATTGTATAGGCGAGAGGAGGAGGTATTTGATGATGACTATGTTACAGTGAACTAATCCATCTTATAAACAAAATTTTCCCATGAAAATTGCAGAGCGATGATTGAGATGTCGAAATTAAACAAGACCTTGTATAACTATTTGACAGGTGATAGAGACTTCTGATCTAGAATAACGCTTACCTGCGTACTTGTTTCTAAAGGGCCCAACCTCTATCTCCGATTTTAATCTGCCTGCGTGCCGACCTACCCCAGCACCACCAACAGGAGACTTGCTTCAAAGTGCCATTCTTAAAAGGTCGATGAATGCGACACCCAACTGGCAGACTATCGCCGCAGGAAAAAAACACCTTCGTGTTATTTTCGATTTGAAGAAGGACCTCATTGGAAATGATGACTATCGCATTCCTCGCAACATGAGTCGCCTGGTGAAATTCTCGGAGGGAAAGTGGCTGACAGCTGAAGAAGATGGCTCTTTCCACTTCTACAACGGTTTTATGAATGGCAACAGCGGTGATCCTAGAAAGCACAAGATATCCATTCTAGGTTTGGTTCTGTCTTACAACCAGAAGACTGGAGGATTAGAGCTTCTACCAGCTGACTTCGAAGCATCCAAAAAGTTCTTCCCAGACCTTCATGATACTTTTGTTTGGCAGCGTTTGGCTAGTGTCGTGGAAGATAATACAGTGGTTTCTATGACAGCAGACAAGAGGGAGACATTGGCGAACCCTCCTTGTCACGTGCAGTGGTCCAACTCGCTTCGTTTTGATCCCACTGACGGAGGAGGCAAATGTCTTCACTTCACTGCCGCTACTGAAGGAAGTCTGTTTGTCGTGTTCTCGGCTTTGCCTAAGGACAAGAATACTTGGTATTACGTCGAAATTACACCCCAGAGAGTTGCTATTTACAAGGTAACATGTGCGGTTTTACTCCGCCATTTTTCTTTTATAAATTAATCAAGGGAGTTACCTAGTGTTGAAGAAAAACATTTTCATGAGAAAATTTAGGACAACAAGATTTGTGGACTCACTGACGAGCCATGGGCGGGTATTGCTTGTTACGGCTGTTTTGGAGTTCTCACGACGCGGGTTTCACGAATGTTTCCGTAACTCTTGTTTATATGAAAGAAAGAATTCCTGAAAAAAAAAATTCTTCTTTCTGTGGGTGCACTGTCTTGTTTTTCTTATTCGTTAACAGATCGCAGTTTCATTAGAAATGTAACACAGCCAGTTGAGAAGCTTGACATTTCGTATGCTGGAAACCGTACATTCTCATTTCTATTATATTTTCAATCAAACCACAATGGCTTCACAACAAGAGCTTACAATTTCATTTCCAGGACGCGACGATCTGCGTATTGCCCCAACAACCAGTTGTCGGGGGCAATACGTGAATCGCCCTGGGGTCAAGTTGTAGGTTACGAGGACGATACTCGAGAGTGGCGAAGGCGAGCTGAGCCTAATAAATTATAGATTAACCTTAGTACCCTAGCTATCAGGTCTTCTTGAACTAATGTCATTGTATAAACGTAATGCAGTGCAACAGCACGGAGATTAACTCATTGGACACCTTTCCATCCTAAGTTTACACTTCTCTACCGTTCTGTTATTTTTGTTGTCTCTCATCGGTCGTTAAAGGGAGAGCAATTAAAGACTTCAACCGCTGACCCAAACGCACTGGGCCTGGGCGATCCATCTCTACTGCAGGCTTACTTTGTGTGTGTCACTGAGTCTACGTCAACAACTCTGATAGAATACGGCAAAACCATGGGAACCACAGAAAGTGGGGATGTCTACCTTAACATGCTGGACACCACTCACCGTCTGAATGTACGGTTGTATGCTTTTGCAAACAGCAAAGAAAGGGCGTATGTTATTGATGCGCATATAGTACCACGTGAGATGACTGAGGCTGAGTGCAAGGGAGATACACACAAGGATCTGGAATCTAGGCTGTGCACGCAGAATTGTCATGAGGATTGTGATCCACTCTTTGGTGAGCAAATCGACATTTGAGTTCTTCTTACAGTTAATAGCAATGCAACCAAGAGAGAAAACCGCCAACATTTTCACGAAATAATATCTCAAGATTGAAACTAAATGTAGGCTCGATTACCAGCCGCTGTTCGAGAAAGGAGCCTGTGCTCGTCCCCCGACTGAACTCACTGAGCCTAAACTAAATGGAGTTAAATATTACGCTATAGTTCAAGGACCTTTTACTGGTAAACTACTCCGAAACGAGAAAGAACGTCTTAATTTTTCTTTGAGTGGTACCAATTTTGCAGCAGTATTGCCCATTGTTGTTCTTTATTAATATCCTGCAGAGGAAGAATGCTTTAGATCTATTAACATCACGTATAAAATGCATCTTCGCCAATCAAAGCGTGTGAAAATTGATTTGCGAACCACTGTTTATAGGTTGTACCACACAGTCATCTGGGAACCCGCAGCCAAATGAGTGTAACGTGTGCCGTGTTGCCAAGGACGCTGCATCAGGGAATTGTCTTCCGGAATGTAAAGAACCTAACTACCTAACACCTGACAACTTTTGTGTCGATAAGAGTGGTAAGTTTTTTCTTCCGCAAAACCTTAATCTTGTTCACTTTCTCAAGCCTTCATCCCCCCAAGAAAAGAACTGAACTGAATAGGAAACGCTAGCCCATGTACTCTAAGAATGATTTCCTTTCCTTTAAGAGATCCTCACATTTTTCAGCGTTTGCTGGAGGCCATTTTCTGGCTTTTTTCCAGATAACATTATCTGGTAACATATTCCCCCACCAGCAGTTTAAGAAATGCTCGAAGGCCACCTGTATTCTTACTTCTAGTTCCTATTTATGATGTTAATTTCAATTTTTGAAAGTTATTTCAATTGATCAGCTTTGTTAAAGAGATCATGCTGACGCTCGATGCGTCGGCTTATTGATTTTGCCCCAGGGGTTACTTTGCTGACGGAACAGAGAATAATCGTTTCACCAAAATCTCAAGGGAAGTGCGAAACTGGATTATTTGAGCCGCTACAAAAATCTAGAGTAATTTAGACATTTGACTCGATTAAAGGGCTTTATCACTTTGTACTTTTAATTCCTTCCCCGCTCGATGGAGCGAATGATAGATTGAGCGCAATATCCCAGGGGTAGGGGCATTTGATTGACCACACTAAAGGAAGCGCCTGCATGTCTACTCATGTTAAGCAGATTAGAATGACTGTAAAAGGTTTTTTTCTTTTTCAGCTACTTTTGATATGCAAGTGGGAAATTCACCCTACGGAATATCAATACGTCAAATCCCTAAGCTGGCCTCCATCACTATGTGCTTTTGGCTTCGTTTCCCTGCGGCAATCGTCATAGATAACAAGAGTTACTTTCCCATGATTAATTATTATGTGAGTGGCAGGCGGTACCAGGAGTTTGCACTAAACTGGTATCCAAACCGAGACCGGACGGAGCCTGGGATGCAAGTAGCTTTTAAAACATGGAGAAGAAATAATAAATACTTACCAAGGTACTTTTTGAGACTAAAGTTTTAAGATTTAACGCAGGTTTAAACAATAAAATTTTCATTAGACAGGAGGAGAATAAATGGTTCAGCGGGGCAAAGTGCGCAGCCCTCGTACTCTCAGGGCAAGTACAAAGCGCGAGACAGGTGCGAAGACTTAACGACGACTTCTCTTTAAGAAATCCTTTGCATTTTTAAATCTATCTTTTTAAGAGGGAAGTCGGCCATTTGTTTTGCTGTACCCTTAATGAATAGTTTTGTTAACATGCCATAGAAAATACAGGTAATTAGAATACAGCAAAACCATTATATACTCAACTGTATTACACCCAGCCTTCCCATCGTGCCCTGCGCGTATGTCACATCCGCAGTTCAAATATATGATCTTTCATATATTATTCACTTGCATTCACAGTATAGCCACCGTATTTTCTATGGCATGGTATAAAATAGTTATGCCAGGATTGATTAACGAATCTGCCCAAAACTAAGCTTTCTTAAAACAGGCTGAACGCCAGATCATTATTATGTTCTCTAACTACCTTCATTTTTATCGAATAGGATGTCGTTTGAGCAACTTCTGGACAAGAAATGGCACCATATCTGTGCCACGTGGAATGGAGAAAGCGGTGTGGTCATGCAATACCTCGATGGAGTCAAGAAACAAGCTGGAACTGGCCTGGTCTGGGAGTATGAGGGCGGAGGAACTCTTAAGATGGGAGACTCCACCTCTTTCCCTTACGATCTTTCTAGCTTTAACCTTTGGGATCAGGTTCTCGCCCCTGAAAACATCAAAGACATGTCTAAGTCATGTCTTAGAGGCATTGGAAACGTCAAGAGCTGGCTGGACTTCAAAGACGCAGCCAGAGCAAAAAGAACGTTACAAGTGGTGAGTCCTTCTGTCTGTACCAGCCCTTCCCAGCCCAGTACTGACGAGCCCGCGGAAGAGCCTCAGTTTAACTACTCGTCCCCATGGAATAATGGTACCCATCCCGTAGGGCCTGTCGGTATGGATGCGGTTGACGAGCCCGAATATCGCACTCTCCCCAACCCACCTCCGTGGAAGAAAGGCACTAGCAGTGGAAAAAATTCCTTCTAAGTCATGTTCGCGATCAGGAGTTTCATCGTTGATTTAACATGCAGCTCAGCTGACCACAAAGATGCAAAAGGCTAAGCTCATGCTACTCGCCAGCTTCTCGACCCCGGAGCCACGCACACTTTTTGTGACGTAAAAGGAAGAGGGTCCTGGGACGAGAATGAGTGTTTCAGGATATAATGAATTTACGAACAATAAATCAATTTATAAACTGCCCAGTAGTAGTCCTAATGTTATTGCACCAAGTACTATAAACAGACGAAATACGACTGATCGAGTAATTTATGGGTAAGAGGGTGGTGGTACAACAGTGAGTGAAATGATGGAGTCAAAGATTGAACTGAACACTAAACAGTCCGACTCTTTTATTTTCGACGTTTCACAGCTTAGCATTCGTTACATTGACCTCAATTCGTCATCAGCAGGTACAGATCATCCACTTTATTTACTGGACTCTGGTGTCTCTTCTTCAGCACCCTGTCGTGCCGGGGGGAGACACACCGAGGGAGCATTTACTTTTAAAGCACTGATGGCTTTTGCCTTGTCAGAAAATTCCAGCCAATGCTTGACATTCCCAATTCCCTTCAGACAGGAAGTTGCTAAATCCTTTATTTCCACTTCAGGAAGAATTTTATCCCAAAGATTGAAGCCAGTGATCTGATACGTCTGTGCAGCGTATGTTTCACCGATACTCAGGGTCCCTCCGCCATCCAATGCGTGCGCGACACCGGTCTCCGATTTCTTTCTGACGCCATCAACATATTGCGTAACGACTCCACTCTCTCCTGAAAATGTGATGCACAGATGGTGCCATTTCCTGTCATCAAAAAGGTCTGTGGAAATCCTGTGAATGTACAATACAACGCATTCCGTGGTTATCATACCATAAAAATCTGATATTAATCACCCCCCAAAAATATAAGTGAATAAATTGCACTTGCAAAGAAAAAAGCGAAAAAATAATAACAAATATTGATAAAACTAGTACAACACTTACTTATAAATTCCACGTATTACATTGGGAAAAACACACATGCACTTACATGCACACACACGGTAAAACAAGTCAAGAGTACATCAACAGCAGCATTTAGTTAGATTGTTAATTTTGCTGCATCTGCAACAGATTAGTTTAAACGTTCCAGTGTCATCTGGGTCAAACACTATTTGTGATGTGAAGGTGAATTAATCAACATGACACGAGCGTGGGACAAAGAAAAATTCTGANATTTTTCTTTGTCCCACGCTCGTGTCATGTTGATTAATTCACCTTCACATTTCATTACCGAGCTTAAAATTCACCATCTTTATTAACTTATCACTATTTGTGATGTCTTTAACTTCATTTTGAAAGAATTTAAGACAATATATACAGTGCAGAGACCATTGGTTTTCATCCAATGATCATGGAACCCGTGTTGTTTTCCCTGAAAAGGATTCAAACAACTTCCTCATTTCTAAAATGCATCGCAGTGGTTCTGTGTGTTAGGACCAAACCACGACTGGGGGAGGGTATGCAGTGAGCGTCACTCTCTTAGTAGTCACTGCTTCCTACCTGTCGAGTGAAGCCCAACTCTCTCCAGTCCAATATCCTTGGACAATAAGTAGTTCCAGTCGATTTTCACCACCCTTCACCCAAAGCAGCTGAAGACTCTGCGAACGTGTCCCTCTCACTTCGTAGTCCATCATTCTCCAAGCCCAATCAGTTTTAAAATCCAAGAAGCGAAGCCACGTGCACATGGTTAGGGATGGTAGATGGGGGATCTGGCGCACTGAAAGCCTTTCAGAAAGAACGTGTGTCCCTAGCTCCAGGTCAAAAGTGCCTTTGAAAATGATATAAACAATGAACTGTTAGACTTAGGACAGACCCATATGTATGATAGATTTAGTAAGAAGTTGCAAGCTAGACTTGTATAAAAACTTGTTCGGATGGCCAAAAGGATTGCCAAGCTTCATCTCAAGCGCACTCAAGTTGAAAAAGCAACCTTTTAACGCTATGGATAACGTGCGATCTACTTGTGTTGACTGGAGTTTGGTTTCCAAACGGAGAACAAACTTGCACCGACTTACGTTCATATTTGATCGAGACCAGAACGTACTGAAGTCAACTCAGGTGCAGGCGAGCCCGAAAGTTTATGTACCTTTGTGCGCTCTTGATCACAAGCATATTTCCATTTGCTTCTCACAAGCAATTGCTTAGATAACAAACGTTTCTTTCGCGACAAAAGAGGGTGCTCGCAAGCCCCTAGACACAATTTCTAAAACCTCTATCGTCTATCCGAAAATATCAAAAGTATTTACCACTCTTGTCAATGCAAATCTTATTGGGCGATAAGTAGTTGGGTTCTTTACAGTCTGGCAGACATTTTCCCGTGGCCAGGTCCTCGGCAATTCGGCACACGTTACATTCTGTGGGCAGTGGGTTCCCAGATGATTTCGTGTTGCATCCTTAGATTAAAGGGACAAAATATAACACACAATTAGTAGTTTTACGCTGTAATATGTCGGCCAGTTGTAGATATCTTAACTGAGTTCCGCAAAAATTGAGCTGACCTAGTGAAGTTTATGGCTGTGGATAACGCATTAACCAAACACCTCTAGGTATGAGTCTTATCCAGAGTCTTAATCTTAACTGGGTAATGAGTACCATTTTAGGGTAAATCGGCCTTACGATATTAAGACCCGCATTTTCCTGAAGTTGCTAGGTAACTAAGAAACATGGCGTTACTTCACGCATGAAGCATTAAGAGAACAATAAATTCCTCATAGAAGATTGCGTTTTACATTTTAGTTTATTTTCATGCTTATAGACACCCGATAAGTTGATTCTGTATTTGTTAACCGTCTCCTTACCATAAAGTGGATCGCAGTCCTCGTGGCAGTTTTGTGTGCACAGCCTCGATTCCAGATCCATATATGTATCCCCTTTGCACTCAGCCTCGGTTAAGTCACGTGGCACGATGTGGGCGTCTATCACATCGAGGTCCTTATCTCCGTTCCCGAACGCGTAGAATCGCACGTTCAAGCGATCAGTGATGTCTAGCATGTTTAAGTAAATATCACCACTCTCTGTAGTTCCCAGTGTTTTTCCATATTCCATGAGAGTGGTTGATTCAGACTCGGTGACACAGACAAAGTAAGACTGCAGCAGGCTTGGGTCACCCAGACCCCGCGCGTTCTTGTTGGTGGTTGATGTTTTCACTTGGTTACCCTGTGGAGAAGGAGCGGGGAGAGTTACCACCGACCGTTCGTTCAAATGATCATCAGTATTAGTTTTTCGTGTCCAAACTTTTTCAAGTTCAATTTTCAAAAAGTGTCTGATTCCATGGATCGTGAAAGTTAAAAATAATAAGGTAGTCATGAGCTCTCGCCGTTGGCAAACAACGACTTAAAGTATGTATTTGTTTTCGTCTCAGTGACCCTAACAAATCATAGCTACCAGCCCCTAACTGTCGGCACATTTCTCATATCGTGGAAGTTTAAATTTTAACGAGGTAGTGGAGGAGGCGCGGGGAGTGGGGGAGAGGGCGTTGAATAAATGTCGTCTAAAACTATGAAGGAGTATGCATCAGCTCCTCGACTTCTCTGCATTTGGAGTGGAAGTTGGAAACAAAGAGAGAAGGAACCCTTCCTGCGCCAGAATTCAATAAGAGGAGCCGATGATCTGTTACCTTATAAATGGCCACTCTATCAGGAGTTATCTCAGTGTAATACCATGACGATTTATCCTTAGGTAAAGTCGAGAATACCACGAAAATCTTTCCCTCGCTAGCGGCTGTGAAATGAAGGCATTTTCCGTTAGAATCCGTCGGATCGAAACGAAGTGCGTTTGACCATTTGACATTGCAAGGGGCACTTGCCGCAGCTTCTCGTTTACTTGCCACTTTGGTAACAGACTTGGTTTCTATGGCAACCCTGGCCAGAGTACGTCCGGCAAGAAATTCGTGGAGATTGGGAAAGAACTGTTTGGAAGCTTCGAAATCGGCGGGTAACATTTCTAATCCTCCAGATTTCTCGTTGTACGATAGAACCAGACCAAAAATGGACATCTTGCGTTTCCTAGCATCACCGGTGCCTCCGTTGTTGAAGGCATTGTACAAGTGGAACGAACCGTCTTCTTCCCCTATCAGCCATTTTCCGTTGGTGTACTTCACAAGGCGGCTCATGTTTCGGGGAATAGTGTAGTCCTCTATACCGGCCAGGTCTCTTTTCATATCAAAGATGACTCGAACCTCTTTCTGACCGCTTGTGATTTTCTGCCATGCTGGTGCAAATTTTGTAGTAGTCCTTTTCTGTAGGTCTGCTTGAGCCGGGGCTTCAGCTGGAGGGGACGAGCATGCTGGGAGGTTAAAATCTGAAATGGATGTTGGGCCCTGTAATGAGAAAAAATACTGTCACTGTTAGAACTTGAAAGCGTGGCATATTTGTAAGCGTGACTAGACGTGACGCATGAAAGTGCGCCTTATGGACTATATGCGAGACCCCCTCACGGACTATACGAGACCTTGTGCTTCTGCTAGAGGAAAACCCTCGCTTTTGTTTGCGTTGTTGTAAATACCGGGCTGTATGAAAATTAAAGGTTGAAACTGAACCGTCGAGTGAATCTTTAACAACTTTCTAACAGTCACACTCCTCAAAGAAAGATGTATAGAATCTGTTCTATTATAAAACAGGAAGTTCCTCTTTTAGAAACACTTTTTCTTAGTATGCCCATATCTCTTTCCCACCCCTCTCTCTACAGTAAAATCCCCTTTTT